AAAACTGGTCCATGGAAAACCGCGTCACAGTCAAAGTCAGGGTAGCGTCGAACGCGCTAATCAAGACGTGGAGAACATGTTAACAACTTGGATGTTGGAAAACGAAACAGAGCATTGGAGTCAAGGTCTACGATTCATACAATTTATGAAGAACACATCTTTGCACTCTGGAATAAAAAGGGCTCCATATGAGGGCATGTTCGGGGATAAACCGAAAATTTAACTTCTAATATTCCATTAGAAGCAATGGATAGCGTAACAACCGAAGAAGATCTGGAAAATGTGATTAATTCTATTCTGATTGAAAACACAGAAACCGTTCAACTGGAAACAGAGCAACCAGCGCTGGAAGGTGTTTCAACAGAAAAAGATTTAGAAGAAGTGGTTACGTTGGTTGTTACTGACAATACACAAACCGGACAATCCTAATTGCACCAAACAGCAACGACCGAAAATGTACCACTAGAAAATAACAATAACACTCAAACACTCTCGTATGAAATATGCGGTAGTTGTTTCAATTCCTCTAATCGTGATGCCTCACATGCTGAGACCACGTCCTTGGAAAATATTTGCAATTTTTGCAACAGAAACAGAAACATAGCAAATGCCAGAAAGGGCGCTTATGATGGATTACAAGCACAGGCAAAACGAATGAAATTAATATCAGATAGCACCCATCCAAAACCACAGATTGGATCAACTGTGAGGATTCCTGTTCCAGATGTCGATCGTGGCAGGGGAGATGCTCGGTCAGTTTTAGCGGTAGTGTTAGAAGCTACAGAAGATGGTTTTTACCGCTTGGGTACAAAACTAGGAGTCATTTCAAAATACTATAGTCGTTCAGAATTTAGTATATGTCCTGTTAACATTTTGAAAATTGAAGAAATCACCAAAGATAAGAAAGTTTCTCTTAGATCAGTGGCTACAAGTCAATCTACTGGGCATGAGGAAGGTTTCAAAAAATGTTACTGTAAGACTAAATGTCAGTCAAACAAATGTGCTTGCCGAAAGAATAATGTATTATGTAACTCAAAATGTCTAACTTGTACAAATAAATAAAAAATGCATTTTTTTCTTTGTTTTAAATATTACAGTGTATATCGTCTATTTGCAGATGGACAGTTTATAAATAGACTAGTCCTTTTTGAAACCGACTAGTCCGTTTATTAAAGAACAAGCTTCTTACACATATAGACTAATAATTTCAGTCCATTTACATATGGACTAGTCCTTTTGTATACGGTCTTGTTTACATATATGGTCTGTAACACATATATTATAAATAATTATTGTTAACATGTATGTATCGCGTCTTTAATTCCTTGTGTATGTTTCTGTAAACCTGTTTTGTCCAAAATCTGTATAAAAGTGTGCAGTTTTTTCTCCTGGCTTGTAATTCATCATCACATTCATTACTAACAGAACTGTCGCTGTTATCACTTTCAATTATTAATTAAAGTATCCTCTTTTTAATGCAAAAAGCCGTTTTGAAAAATCACTTGCAGTTCTTGAGAAATAAATTTTTGAAATGATCGACAATATTTTCGAGTTTTGCAATTTTCGCCAATTAAGTTTTAAAAATTCGTATAAAATTCAGTTCTTGGAATATGAGTATGAAAATTTCTCAAAGTGTTAATAAAAGCGTCTTTTTTCCAATGAACCAACCCATTTTGAAAAATAACTTTTAGTTTTTGAGAAAAAAATAAAAGAAGAGTTGATGAAATTTTCGATGTTGCAATTTTCATTGATAACATTCAAAATTCGCTATAAAATTCATTTCTTGAAGGATCCTTGTTGAAATATCACCAATTATTAATTAAAGTAGCCTCTTTTTAATGCAAAAAGCCATTTTAAAAAATCACTTTTAGTTCTTGAGAAATAAATTTTTTAACTAATCGAAAATTTTTTCGAATTTTGCAAATTTCGCTGATTAATTTTAAAAATTCTTATAAAATCCATTGTTTTGGAATGTGAGTATGAAAATTTCCCAAAGTGTTAATAAAAGTGTCCTCTTTCCAATGAACCAACCCGTTTTGAAAAATAACTTTTAGGTTTTGAGAAAACAATATTTGAAGGGTTGATAAAATTTCGATGTTGTAATTTTCATCGATAACTTTCATAATTCGCTATAAAATTAATTTCTTAAAGGATCCTTGTGGAAATATCACCAATTATTAATTAAAGTATCCTCTTTTAATGCAAAAAGCCGTTTTGGAAAATCACTTTTAGTTCTTGAGAAATAAATTTTTTAACTAATCGACAAGAAGAAAACAAATTTTATTCTGAACCCTTAGTACATAAAATAAAATAAATAAGAGTAATGATATCAATACATTTATATACAGGGTAATTCAAATTCGACCCCCACCAGTGGGATCTCAGAAACCATAAGAGATATAGAAATGGTTAAATGGGGGCAAAGTTGTGTATCTTAGAGCTCATCATTTTTCAACTAAGTTTTTGGATCTAGCCGTTTTAGTTTTCAAAATATGGCCGACAAAAAAATGTTTTTTAAAATGAGGTACACTGTGTGACATATCATTGAAATCAGAAATAATTATCCTATCTTTTGGTGTGAAAATCAAATATGGCGTTCATAAGAAAAAATAAACCTGATGATAGTTTCACGAAAACGAAACATCGGAGAAAATTTTAAGTTGTAAGTAAATTTCGCATGTATTTATCGGACAAAGATTGAAGGCGAGTATGGATAGGGGAATATCGGTAAGTTGATATATACGGGGGTTCCTAATTCGGGTGATGGATCACAGTGCAGATCTTTCCGCCACTTCCAGGTGGTACTTCGTTCTTCTTGGTGCGTCGCTTAGCATTATTGATCTATATTCTATGATGGGCCTGCATATGGTCTTGTAGATGTGTGAGGCACATGAGGTAGATATTCCGCGACCACTGAACGAGAGGGATTTAAAGTGCTTGGCGCGTGTCTTTACTTTCATCTTCACCTTGGTTGCGTGAACTTTAGCGTTCTATCGAGTGTTATGCCAAGATACTTGCAGGTTGGTGAGATGGAGATTGTAGTTGATTGGATTGTAATTGTGGGAGAGGGAGCGCTGGGTGACAGGAATGGGACAAAAAAATGTGTTTTTGTGGGATTGAGTAGGATGCGCCATTTTCGGAACCAATTTTCCGTTTCATTTATGAGCATCTGCAGCTTACGGACCGAAGAAGCGACGTCCCTACTGTGCGAGACCAATGTTGTGTCGTAGGCATAAAGTAGTGTGTATGTACTCAGGTTAAAGGTGTCTGGGTTGTCGTTGTAAAGATCATGGCAGAATAAATTGTATAGAGAGGGAGAGATGGGCGAACCCTGAGGAAAGCCTTGCTGAGCAGAGAAGCTGTGGGAGAAGTGGTTTCCCAACTTCACGATGGAGGAGCGGTTCGACAGGAATTGATTTATCAGGTTTAGAAGGTAGTATGGCGTATTTAGCCTATTCAGTTTAAATAGCAATCCTTTGTGCCACACTGAGTCGAAAGCCTTTCGGACGTCCAGAAACACGGCTGCGGATTTCAGTTTTTCAAAACGTGCCGCCTGGAAGTTGGAAACCTGAATAGTTAGTGGCTGGGACGTTGATTTTCTGGATTGGAAGCCAAATTGGTAAGGCGGAATTTTCTTTGATACAGCAGCCAGGAGCTTGTTCTTCAAGTGCGTCTCGAAAGTTTTCCAATTACGGGAAGCAGTGAGGTGGGGCGCTAGTTTGCTGGATCAGAAAGAGAGGAATCCTTCTTGGAAATGCAAGTAATAATTGACGTCTTGCAGTCGCATGGAAAATGCTGAGTCGTAAGGCAAAAGTTAATTATTTTCTTGATAAAGCCGTGGATGTTAAGATCTCGACTTCTTAGCAGTTTCCTTGTGATGTTATCATAGCCGAGAGCGGTATCCTCGGGTGTCTCGAACGGTTTCAAAAATGCGGATTCGTACCAGTTGTCTATAATATTTTTATTGTGGGGACAAAACGAAGCATCCTCGGTAAAGATGAATACACCTTCCAGGTAGTCAGCGCGTATGTTGACAATCTCTTCAGGATTAGAGTGCACACCGCCTTCAGTAGAATCAATGAGCTCTTCCGTTTCAGGTGTCTTTTGGTATCTGGATAGTTTTCGAATTTCGTGCCAATAGTTTCTTCCTTTACACAGTTTTATTTTGTCACAGGCTCCCATGTACATTTGCCGTTCTGTATTGCTGAATTAACTTCTGATTTAACTTTGTTAAACTTTTTTTTCAACTCAGGAACTTCATATACCCTGAAGTCTCGATATAGTTCGTCTTTTCTCCTTGATGAATCTGATAATAAATGGAGGTAGCGGAAAATTGTAATGCTAGATGTTTGTTAAAGCTTGAAATCGTGTCAACTGGACTCGACGGTTTTACCTGGGTTAAGGAAGAAGGTAACTTTTTTTAGTCTCAAAAATCGAATTGAATAGAAACAAAAGATGTCTCCGTCTTCTTCCAGTACCAGCGTCATGTCGGAGCTAACAGCGGACGATTCGCATTAAATCTGAACAGAGCTGTACATCTACTACGACGTTATGGTCTCCATAGAGTGTTGAGGAACGAAGAAGAGTGCTGTTTGCTGGGTTTATGCGCGATGTGATATCGTGTGCTGCTTGCATCGGAAGTCTTGACTGTGTTTGTAGTGCCTTTATGCCGAATCGCGCTCACACGAATATAGGTCTAAATTCCCAGCTATTCTCCTGCAGCTAATTCAGGCGAATAACTTTTCTTCGTTTTTTTCTATTTTGTTTGTTGGAATCAATTATCTGTTTATTGTCAAGGACAGTAGAATCTAACAGGACTGCTACATTCATTGTTGTGACAACGTGCTCGTACACTTCGTTACACCATTTTCCACGCTCAGTTAGTATTTTTAGAGGTTATATCGTAGACGTATTAAAATTTTAATTTTTTAGACGTATTAATGTCTATCATATAACCCTTACAAACACACAGCAAACGTATAGAACTCAATGACAGTTAACTGGGCGTGGCATATAGTGTGACGTAGAGTGCGGGCAACCAACCCGTAGTGGGCTACAAAAGAACAATGGATGTAGCAGTTCTGTTATATTCTACTGTCCTTGGTTTATTGTAACATTATCTCTTTATTGGATTGTAATCCGTTCGGACAATAAAGATTATATTATATTATTATATTATAACAATTCAAACATTACAATATCCAGCATCTTCCGTATTCTTTTCGATCCAATCCATGAAATG